TTTGGTAAGGCGACAAAGGTTACTAGCTAGGACTTTAGCAGTGTACACGGATAAGGTCAAGAGTGTGTGCAATGCCATTTTTGTACAATTCTGGGATGTTTTTTTAAAGTGAAAATAGGTCGACGTGTACATGGATGATACCGTGTATGTGCAATTCTTAAAAACGCGGCAAGCAGTGGGCCGATTCTGCAACTTTGTCCCAATTTCGCACCTAATCTTTCGTCATGATTAAGCACTTTTGTTCCATAAAAGTTCTAGCATAAGCATAATTCGGCTGGCAGATTGTTGGAAAAAAATGTTGAGTAAAAAAAAAAAAAAAAAAAAAACATGCCTTTACTTCGTGAAAACAAAATGGCATCCAAACAAAAACTAGCAGGTTGCTATAGCAAGGTTGGTCGCCAAATTACCATAATCCAAAGATTAGCCAAATTGGCTAATACTCACAATACACATGGAGAAAATTATGAAAACTTCCATGCAGCTAGCTTATTCACTAGGACAACCCAGGTTAAAGTACTAGTGTTTAATGATTTTGCTACATAAATGTTAACAGGCTATGAAAGTTTTGAAATTTTACTCTTCATAATGATCACAAATATAACAAAAAACTCAGTTGCAACATACAAGATACCACACAGTCCATTACAAACATAATTTCTTCTATGCAAATCAAGTTTCTAACGTCTATTTGCAGAAACTAATAACTATTTGATAACTTCCTCCATAGCAGTAACAACTATGAAAAGCCGCAAGAGGAAAATTCAGCTGTAAATACAGCTCTTTTTTACAGAAAACCTTTCTCCACCTTTAGAACGATTACACATATCATAATACTGCAAACTCGCATCTAATTGTTATAGTAGCACACCAGCAATCATTCAAAAGTTACTAAACACTAGTAGTTTGACTTGGGTTTGATTCCAAGTGAACAGGCTGGCTGCAAGAGCATTTTCACGGCTCTCTCTACATTTAACATTGATCGGCGCTTTGGCAAACAAACCATTGGCACCACTGCAGTTTTACTCACCACGTTTACCAATGGTTGATTGACACCGAAAAAAGTAGAAAACATGCCTTCATATATCATTAACACAAGAAATAACTACAACATAATATTCCCTTCTTATATATTTATAATACAGCTAATATTATTTCCAATAGGCCCCCAAATTATTTTTATTTGCAGAATCCTTATTTGTCATTAAAAATGTTTTTCAATACATTTCTGCAAACAAAACTCACCTTCACTTCACTCTTTCCCCATTTCCTCAATTGTTTAAGAGTTTTGCTTAAACTCTTATCAAAACTAATATACACAAATTTATATACTAACAACATAATGTTTTTAAGCTAAGATTTAAAAAAAACCTTTAGTTCTAACATGATCTAAGATCTGTAATCTTATCAGGCATGAATGGTTTAGGACATTTAATTCATTTCATCCTATGTATTCTCTGTTGAGAAAATTCAATTTTATTTTTCATACCAAAAACATATATCACAATATGTAATTGTACATGCTGACAGTAATTTGACGAATTTATAAATCATGAGATTCAAATATTAAAATATTCTCTTCATAAAAGCAGCTGATCTTTAGAATATGGTAACTGGTAGTTTGGCGACATTTTGGAGGCGATAAAGGTTACTACCTGGGACTTTGGTAATAATGTGAGCAGTACTCAGTTCCGACTACGCATTATTTCGTGTGAGGGAAATGAGAGATCATGGGATATGTCATGTGATATTAATGGACGAATTATGGTTCTTTAATCGGAAAAAAGGGGGGAAATCGGAAAAATCTGGGAAATTTGTATTTGGCTTTATTCTGTGTTTGTGTGAAACAGTGTGTTCGTTAATTTTTGGATCCCATGACCCTAACTAAAGTGAATTCGAAATGGGTATTTAGTGGGATTGAAAGGGGTAGTAATAAGTGTTTCTTTAAGGTTGTGCGAGATAGAAGTAAAGATGTTTTATTAAGTTATTTATTTTACCTGGCACCTTGGTGTGAACTATAAGTATGATTTTAAAGATCCTGAAAGAGAAATAAGAAAAGTTTATCGGACACGTAATCAAGATTCTGAAGAAGAGTAGGTAAGTTAGTATTTTTAATTATTTGAGGATATTATTTCTAAGCATTGTTCTAAATGTAAGGTGGAAGTAAAGTAATTTGCGTAAACGTGCATGGAAATAATTTAAATATTTGAAACTAAGTATTTATAACCATTTGTAATGTTTGCGGTATGAATTAGTTAGTGACGTTTGTAATATAATAGATAATGTAGAGGTAAAAGTTTTTGGATATTTTATTTATTTTATACGGGGAAATGTTTCATATTTGGAAAGGGTATATACTTTTTCGCGATTAGGTAATTTCATATATGTTCTTTTTACCGGGTTTAAAGATTCAGAGAAAATTGTCATGTATTTTCGTGAAATTTTTCTAATTTATGAGAAAAAGCAGTGTACATGGATATAGTGAAGAGTGTGCGCAATGCCATTTTTGTGTAATTCTGGGATGTTTTTCTAAGTAAAAATAAGTCGGCGTTTTTGTGTACATGGTTTATGTGCATGTGTTGTTTTGAAAAACAATAAGGAGTATGGTATTGTGCACTTTTCCCAATTTTGCAGTGAATATTTGTCATTGATTAAGCAGTTTTGTTAGATAAAATTTCTAGCATAAGTTTAATCGGGTAGTAGGGGTAGTAGATTGTTGGAAGAAGTGTTCAGTAGATAAAAGAAAAGAAACATGTCTTTACTTCGTGAAGACAAAATGGCGGCGGGAAAAAAAAATAGAGTGTTGCTGTAGGAGAGTTGGTCGCCAAATTTTCGCCAAAAAAACGCCAAGTTACCATAATGTAAAGATCAACCATAAAAGCTTCTTAATGAATAACATTTTGTGTCTATTATTTAAGTAAATAATTTCAGCAGACGGAATATCATTAGACCTACAAATACACTATCATGCCATTTGGGAAAATATTGCAGAACACGGGTAACTTAAGATACATTAATATGGGAAATAAGTATGCGACATGACGTTCTGCTTTTATATATTTATAAATATGAAAATTATATATATATAAATATATATATATGAAAATTATTTCCAATATATCAAAAATTTCTAAATTATTAGCAGAACAAAATTATTTGTCATAAAAAAATTTTCAATACATTTCTGGGAACAGACCACACTTTCATTCAACACTTCTTCATTTGGCTGAAATTAGTTTTGCTTAACCTTTAACTGCTGTGAGCGGTCTCTTAGACCGCAACACATTTTCCATTAAATGCTTCCACCCCTTAGAATAATTAATGGATATTGCCATTCCTATTACCTTCCTAAATCAGTTGTCCAAGGTCACATACCAAGTTGCATTTGGGTAGCTATATTTCTTCTTTCACTTTTTAAAATTTTTCCCCTTAGCTGTCTGTGGGACCGATCACAGCAGATACGATTTAAATTTCAGCCGATAAAGTTCACTTTTCGTTGTTGTTACATATTTTGTTTTTATAAATATTCTTGAAATGGCTTCAAATGCGTGCAGAAAATGTTCTAAATATCTTACCTACGACCAAATTGAATACATAGTTCGAAATTGGTCTAATTTAGAGTTCTCTGATGAAAGTTCCCATGATGAAATTATTGAGAATGACCACGACACAACTTCAGAATATCTGCCGATGAAAATGAAAATCCATGTTCTCTTTCTACAAGAGATCTTTTTATTGGAAAAAATGAATTCAAATGGTCTATTCAAGAGCCCAACAAGGGTGTTCAAACTCGTAGTCACACTATCGTTCTTCATTCAATCTATTAACTGCTTGTCGAACCCGACGTTAACCTATGGCAATATTCTTCAGAAACTTGGATATTTGTGCAACAAATGCATTCGTATTATTTCAATCTTATCCCATTGGCTCCGAAAATGAAACGAAAAGATTTCATTAGCAATTGAATTGGTGCAGTCTCATGTAAAACGTAGGATAACTTCCATCATTTTTACCTAAAGAACTCAAACTTACAATAAGAAGTTTTCGGAATAAATGTTGATGAAGGAAACATTGCGATTGAAGACGGTAAATTAGATAAAAAAAAGAAAGTGCTATATTTGTCCACCGAACAAAAAAAAAAAGGGAAAACAGCTTACAAATATATAGCACGCAAAGAATCAGTGTGTCTACAAAGCAATAGAAAAGTATGTATAAAATGCAACTCGAATTTTAATTTTTAAAATAAAAATTAATTTTCTGTATTCTTATCGCAAATTTTAATGTAAAATAAAAAACTTGAATTTTAAAATTTACTTCTTCCATCCAGATACGTAAGTGAAGGAATTATAGTATATATTTTTATTTTATGAATGATTTAAGTATAAAAATTGCTTTATATCTTCATGAATATTGAAATAATGAATATATTAAATATATGAAATTAAATAATATATTCAAATAAGAAAAAATTACAATATCTTATTTTGTTTTTAGCAGAAGCAGTCTGAGAGACCGCTCACAGTAATTCACAGTAATGCGACAATTTAAGTCGCAGTAGTTAAAAGTTAAACTCCATCAAAACACATTAAATACAAATTTATATGCTAAACAGAATGTTACAAGGCAAGATTTTGGGAAAACTTCAATTCTGACAAGAACTAAAATCTGTAACCTTTATCATGCATTAAAGATTTAAGACATCCAATTCATTATCTCTCGAGAAAATTCAATTTAATTTACATTACTAAAAAACGATTTTCATATCAAAAATGTAAATTACAATATGTAATTAATTGTACACGCTGAGAGTAATCTGACAAATTTATAAAGCACTAATGGATTCGAATATTAACGCATTCTCTTCACGAAACCTTCTTAATATCTAATATTTCGTGTGTATTAATTTCAGTAAATAATTTCAGCTGACGGAACATCATTAGGCTTAAAAATACACGATCATGCTATCCACAATAATATTATAGAACACCGGTAATATTTCGTACCTGTTCCAATTGTTTCTCTGCGGCTTCTCTCTGATTTGGGTCTATAGTTGCCCGAAGTATTTCTATAAGTTTATTTGCATCCATGTCGGCGGTCACTTGATCGTAAGGATTTTTCAAAATACACCGACTTAAAAATAAACGAAACACCTCACGTGAGTTTCACAAATTTAGAGAAATGGCCACGCTTAATTTCTTCCCAAAGCGCATGCTCCCGCGCAGAGTAACCCCACCACATGTGTGAAAATTGGAGTTGCATTGAGTTGCTAGTTTCAAAGCCTTTCGCATTCAGTTCCTGCTTGTTCCTCCACTGAAATACTGCCATGTGTCATATTTCATTCTTCGTGACATAGAATTCACAGGTTCAATAAAAACTTTTGATCTCTGAATTGTAATCCTCTGTGAGTAACTGGTTATATAAATAGATATATATATATATATTGATTTCCACACGTCGAATTTTACAATTAGATTCTCAGTTTATTTCATCTTTTGTGTGTAATTTTGTAAATATTGTATATTTTATTTGATTTTTGAAAATATTACTTTTTTATTATCCTTGGTTGTACTTTTATATTATTGTAAATTTTAATATCCATAGAAAATATTTATACTGCACTATTGAACACCACAGTCAGTAAAACACTTTCTTAAAGCTGTAAGTAAAAGAGACTTTATAATAGTGAGTAGGATTATGATTATGAACTCCAAAGTAAAAGAAAGAGGAGTTGGAAATCAGAGATCACTGTTTAAGGCGGTTTGTTGACAAATGTCTGCCTGTTCTTTCAATGTAAGCAAATTTAGCGGTTGATGGTCAGCACCATAGATATAATTACCATATCTTTGATCAGCGTATCTAGCAATGAAGAAAGAAAGATCTCTCTCCTTCCACCACCTCCACTAAGACCTGAGTCATAGAGCGTTTCGTCAACACCGGCTCTACTACGGTGTCGGATGTTGGTCTACTTAAGACTAGGAGTTACAGACTAGGAGCTATACTTAAGGCCTCTAGAGGAGACGGTGTTGGTTCAGTCAAAGCCCAACTAGATATCTAGTTGGCCTTGGTTCAGTCCAATTGCTTCCCATCTAGGATTTGAAATGCCTGTCTGCATTCCATCTACATATTGAATGGAATAAAAACATTTTTTAAAAAAACTGATTTCTTATATTAGTTTTTAGAAAGGACCTTAGGTGATCTCCCTTTCTAGACTAGTATTCAATATTCTAGCTCTTTAAAAAAATTAAAGAAAGAAAATTAAATTAACTCGGGAAAATATTAGAGATAACTGCTAAAAAGAGATCACTCGACACTTTCACACTCTCTAAATTTCAGCGGTCGCCGCTTTTTCGGATGGCCAAGAGTCTCCTTTCCCCATCGATGACGACTAGCTGATAGCTTTGCAATTTGTAATCGATTACGAAGTCTCGATACTCTGTTTACGTTTTAGGCGGAATTGTGGAAAATTTTGCGGAACGGAAAAGGGCCTTCACCTTCATATTTTATTTTATTTATTTATTTTTTTGCGGTATACGAGACTGGGCGCAATGCGAATAAATCTGTATGATACACAGAAACTTGCTCATATTGCTGATACAATGATCAAGAGTATTGATATGTTTAGTTCATTTCTGTTGTTAAAATAAAAAACCGCAATTGTGCATGTAATGAGTGTAAACAATAATGAAAATTTAAATATGTCTGTATTGTTGACTAAGTAGTAATAATGCCATGATTGTAAAATATATATTAGACTCTACTGATTGTATATGTACGATTTAAAGTAATAATTACATTGGGTAGAACACAGCAAAAGAATCACTGAAATTTTATTTATTTGAATGACCCATAATTTTTGTTTTGTTTTGTTCATAGGGATATATCTTTTTTAGGTGATATATCTATTTTAATATATTGTGTACTTAATTGTGTGTGCATATATATACAAATAAACGGGCCTTAAAACTAATGGGTTGATTTAGTAAAAAAATTAAAATATAGTATAATGTGTTATTATAAACATTATAATACTATACCACACAAAGCACTTTCTTATATATGTAATATAACCTTAGAGAGATACCAACTGAATCCTTCTCTGAATATCTATAACAATCTGTGACAATGTCGTTTCATATGCAATGATCAAGCAAAGAGAGCTTTAAAATTTTGCTCCGAACAGCTGAGATGTGTGTCCTAAATTTTGTACTAAACAGCACGAACTTATGTCCGGAGAAAAGAAATTCATCAATTCTGTTTTGTCTACAATTTCCAGGTAACAAAAAGCATGTTTTCTATTTCTCTACATTGAAAAGTTATACTGGGGTGGGGGCACCACTTCTCTTAACATTTGATTTCAAGTGGCATCTGATGTTTTATGTCAATAAAATATGACAGTTCATCCTAATTTTAATCTCTTCTTTATTGTTAGCTTTTTAAGAAATTGCTTCTTATTTGCATTTTGTTCTCTTTCTGTCAGTAGATGATATTAAGGATTTGGTTTTTATTATTTAACCATACTCTCCAATTTCTATCTGTTGCTTCTCATGTAGGCACATGTTTCTTTTTCATTCTTGCAGCAGATATTAAGATGTGTAGTGCTTCAAGTGAACTAATATTTTGTGGATTTTTGTTTGCTATTGATTTCTTTTTAAATTATAATCCTGCTTAGTGTTAAGATTTATGCGCTGTTTATATCTGGTAATTAATAATAAAAAAACTATGTATTTTCATCATTTTGTGTACATTTTAACCATACAATTATTTTTGTATGTGAATAAATTTGTATTTATTGACTTTTCTTTACACCCAATTATCCCTAAAGTATATATGCCATGCTGAATGCATTATTTCAGATTCAAAATGTATACACAGAGAGATGCATATCACACTATGATGATAACAAAAGTGGTAATTTAATAACATTGACATCAAATATCACCTATCTAAGACAACCACTTCCATAGAAAAATTTTTTGTAGCAGCTGTGTCTGACTGTCTTACAGAAGTGTTTTGTGATTTAGAATTAACTCGCTTGTAATACTGATGCAATTTAAGGTTACTAATATGTGCATTCAGCTGTTTTTTCTTTATTAGTTCAAACAACCCCATGTTATTGATCAAAAAGCAATACCTTATCGTTAGTCATATTATAAAAATTAAAAAAATGGCTTTTGGAAATTTTCCTCCTTATGCAATGATTTCCAGTTTGGTAAAAAGCTTTCATAAGTTGATCTTACTATGGGCACGTATTGAATTTTATTTAGTGTTAAAAATCATTTCTATGGTATATGTACATATTTTTACAGTTTTTAAAATACTTCAGAAATTCATTATCTCATGCCACAAGGCATGCATAAAATAAGCTTATTTCCTTGTACTATTATTTAAGCTGTCCAGAAGAAGCCTTTTTTTGACAATGGATCACTGAAAGTTATGCTGTATCTTTCTGTTAATTAGAAAATAATTTTGGATAATAAAATAAATGTATTAGAAAAATATTATATTAAAATGATATTTTTAAAACACATAATTAAATTAATGTATTAGAAATCTGTAATTTAAAGCAAACCTTCGTTCTTCAACTACATATTCATTTCCGATACCCAAAGGCTAATTCCATCATAATAGCTTGTATTTTAACTCGTCATTATTCAGCAAAACTTTTTAATTAAAAATTCTGTATTCGTCCTTTGTGATAAAAGCCCAAGATACGAACCTCCACCATCTGCAAAATGCATGGCTCTCTTTGTACAGGATCTCTGTGGCTGTTACTGGAAGCCTAAGATCGTATGTTCAAGCAGTAGTAAATAGGCTTCCTTATTCTCTGTTTATTTAGTGTGTGATATATTTGTTTTTGTGTGTGTTTATTTGATAGTGTGTCTGTATAAATACTTTTTGTCTGCCATTGGAAATAAAAATATATGCATTACAAATCCGAGTTATTAAGTATATTAAGGCTGTTTACATTTTTCATTCCAAAACATATATTCAATTTAAAATACATTATGCAATTTGTGTTCATCTACATTTGTTAATGTTTAATTAATGCCAACAGAAACATGTTCGCATAAATTTCCTCTAAGTAATTTAAAACATGAGGTTTGTTTAAGAAGGCCATTTTTTATCCATTCATTTATTGAAATATTTGCATTACTTCTTATATATTAAAATTTACATATATTATGTACTTTTTTCAGTAGACAATCCAAGAATATTCTATATGTTAAATGTATGTATGGCTTATATATGCAATATGATTCCCCCCCCCCCAAAAAAAAAAAGAAAAAAAAACTTATCCTCTATTTGTGATCTTATTATCTGATTGTGTCTTCTTCAAAATACACAAATAATCTGATGGAATGAAAATATTTTGGTCATTAAAACTTTTTAATCACTGCTCTTTACATCTACATTTCTTTTTTCACATAATCTGAAGTTTTCGAGTAGTCTGAAGGTTTTCAAACTGTGTTTCACACAGAAATTTTAGATACCATGCAACTCCTCTAGGGCATCTGTAAGTCAAAATTTAAAACAATTTTTAATATCACTGGACATCAAAATGAAATACTTGAAATAATCTTTGAAATTCTCTTATTATTGTTAAAAAATATTAAGCAGATTTTTGTTTATGATTAAATTTATAATGAAATAATGAATTTCTTTTACTTTCTGCATAAAATGCACAAATTTTATATTTCAATTCTTTAACATTTATTTTTCTGAGGATAGAAATTCTTCTATAGAAAAAATTACGATTTTAGAAGTTTTTCTGAATTTAAAGATTTGAAGACAACCCTGTTATAAGGGTTTACGATTATAATGTGAATGACCCAAATAATTGTAAATGGCCTATGGCCATACTTAATACACATATTATTTAAATTGACATGCTTTACCTGTAATGTACATTTGTGACTTATGTTATAATTTAAGTGCACCAGTTTACTCACACTTATCTGTATTGTATGTATGTATTATATGCATCTCTAGACTCAGGTTAAAGCTAGCTCGTTTCCCCTTTCTCAGCTTTCCCAGATGACATTTTTGGGTCTTTACTGGAACTCGACGCACACTTTATTTCGGCTAGAATAACCACTTATCTCACTCTTCTTTTATTCAAAAATTATAACATACTAATTTGGGGAAAAAATTATATTTTATGTTAGTTACTCATGACAACATTCGAAACAACCTACATGTTCGACAAGGGGTAGGGGTCTAGGAAAGCCACAACTTTTTCAATGAACTGGATGAATAAATGCAGCCCTGCCTTTTGTGTGTGTTTTATGCATTTATAAATTTCTACCTGACTGTTTATTCTTTAATTCTATATAACACAATTAATCGATGCTTGTTTCTTGTATGGAATTTTAACATTAATTCTACATAATAACATGAGTAATCTTTTTTTTTTAATTGTATTTTAGCATTATTAAAAAAACACTTTGGCACTATGAACTGAGAATATCTGTCAATCTGTCTTCTACGTTAATTTACAATAATATAAATGTGAATATCTGAATGGAGTTATATTGAAAGATCTACTGGATGCTATGATTCCATGATGGTCAATCCACCACATTGGAAATATTAAATCAAACAATAAGTACAGGAAAAGATTCAGCAAGACAATATATCCTCTTTTGAATGAATACATTTAACTGTAGTTATTCCATATGATGTTATTATACAACACCCCCCAAAATCATGGAAAATAACTTTCTAAACCAAGTTTACAGTGTAAAAAAAGTAGTGGAAAAATGTTGTAGTCATGTAACTGGGCTATCTAACATAAAAATTACAGCATATTACACCAGTGTTCTTACCTTTACTGCATATTACAACCAAATAACTACAATTAGATATGAGAAAGAACAGGCAGTGTCAGTACAACCAAGAGTAAAACTTTTACAGAGTTGCTAATTTGAAAACAAGTGAACCTGTAAAACTAACCCTGCATACTGGTTTGCTTTAGATGCATTTGGTAACCAATATGCCGTAAGTCTTTACCAGATTCAGTTTTGAGTGCATTAAATACTATATTGCTCATATGTCTTGATCGTGACAATCAATGCAGCTGCAGCATTATTGAATAGAAATAAGTTATATGACTCTCAAATAAGTGTTTGTAAAGTTGTTCAGGAAATAAATATTACTAAATAATAACATGTATTATGTTTATTGAATTGTACAAAACTTATATGTTATACTTTGAATTATCGTCAATTTTAATTGTCTGAAATCTGGTATTTGATAGTATATAGTTGTAGCAGTTTTTTTCACTATAAATTCTGAAGAATCCGAAAATAAATGCACATACTAAAGTATTTCAAGTATGATAATATTCAGTATTTAAGATTATCCTAAAAGTATGAAATTTATTATTTTATTTGAAAATAAGTATTAGTGTATCCATGGCATGCAGGTCCCCGAGATTACTCTATTATCCACTCATAGGTGGGGGTGTCACCTTTGCCAAAGGCTCTTTGTAGCCTGCTTTAGGTTTTCATACTAATTTTAATTACTGGCCATCTACTGAAATGGTTTCTTTATGTATATCCACCTTTATTCCAACTCTGGTATTTCTACGGCGATGGAGGTTTAGTTGACCATACTTCTTGACAATTCTTTTACTTTTTTTTTAGTTTTAATTTTTTTTTTTCAATTTGAAGCGGTAGACCAGTATTTTCATCTCGCATAACTGTTTTTGAAGCAGACTCGAAAATCTCCTTCAAAGAGTTGGTTGGCTACATTGTGTAAATTTTCGCTATCTAAATTCCAAAGGAGTGACCGAATTGATCGGTAGTTTGCATCACACTAATTGATTGAATTTCGCTTTTTGCTCAATGTTGCTTCTCCAGATATGGTGGGTATACAATCAGATGTTCCACCTGAAGGATTTCAGTTGATAAATATTTTCATTTTCTGGTGCCTGAGATACTTCTAGAGACTAAATCTTCATCAAATTTGAAAATGAGTCTTGAAAACAGCTATTTTGCAGTTTATTCCAAACTCCAGGTTGGAAACTTCAGGCCAGCAAATACAATATCGCTTGCACAGCAGTCGGTTTTTCTTCTGAAATCTAAGCATGTGCATTGACACAGTTGTTTCTGTTCATCAAACGTGACAGAATAAACTGCATCATGCTTAGTTTCAGAAGAAACTTTAAAGAAGCCATGTGAATTTTTTTTATACTACCCACATAAACTTCAGCAGCTCTTAATTTTGTTTTTATGTGATCAATTAACCATTTTGGCTTATTGATTAAATAATTTGGTACATGTTCATTGTATAATCTGGCCTGCGAAAGCATACTCAGATTTTTTTTTCGGACGTAAATTCTATATCTTTCTGGCAGAAATTTCTCAACCAAGATCTTAATTATTTCAGACAGCATACAGTTTTTATATCCCTGAAGATATCTATATTTTAGTTCCTCATTTAAGCGTTCAACACCATTGTTCGAGTTTATGAATAAGTCATTTGGTTTGTAAGCCAAAGCCCATCTCTCAATTTCCTTGAACTATGTTAATTCAAAATAATCTTACACAGCTTCATACGGGTTCCATGATTTTAATACCTGTATTGCTGCAACCATTTCATCTTGAGTTGGAGCATTTGCTATGGCACGTAATTTACACAAAAGCTTCTCTTTGGGAACCACTGCATTCATTTTCTTAGAAGCCCACCTTCACCATGCCTGCTCTCGATGGAAACTACAAATGAAAACCTTAATTCCTGTAAAGACATTTTCCAAACTTGTAATTTCTTCCATTGCAAAATTAACCATTCCATATTTTGGTGTAACCAGAGGTGACCAATTTTTAATAATTATAAGAGCTTCTTCTAATGCTTTGGCTGTTTCATTTTGTGTAATTATTATGCTCACTATTTGATAGTTCACATTTGTTTTGACAACTAAAAAATAAAGTGGGAGAGCATACTTACAGGTTCGATAGGTCGCGCGTCGAGAAGAACAAGATTAGAACCATATAAGACATATAAATTTTTCATTTCTTCACTTTGATATACAAATAGCAGATTTAGTTTTGAATCTGTAAAGTCATTTGGCTCAGTACCATCATATGTATTTTCAGTACATGGTCTAAAAAAAAACAGAACACTTGGAAGTATCCCAGCTATTTATTAACATTTCTGTATTTTCCTGGTCAATTTTACTAGTTCTAATATCGGATTTTTGCTTGGCTTATTATTTTCCTTATTGCCTCCATTTCTGGATAAAATCGTCTGCGCGTTTTATCAGTTTCTCCCAATTCAGTTGAAACGTATACTTCTAATAGCTCTGCAATTACAGTGGCATTGCATTTTCCATTCTTAACTTTAGAAGCTATGAAATGCCGCACTCTAGCATCTATAGGTTCTATTACTGCAGCCATGTTACCCATTAGATGATTTTGATGATCTTGGCTATTAGGTAAATTAAACATGAAAACTTCTTCACCAGCAATACTATCTTTATTGGCTAGTTTTTTTTCCTTAATTTTCCGAGATATCATAATCTTTCTTTTTCGGGTTGGCACTACCTGTAATTTAAACATATTTATCACAGTAAAATTTAGAAATTCCAGCACAGTCATCTAAAACTAATTATTGATAAAGGTTCAATTTTAAAAACTTTCTGTTCATAGCATAGCAAATTATTCAAAAAAAAAAAAAAAAAAAAAGAGGAGTCATTTCTCATTTCTTTCCTTTAAAAAAAGCTGTAAAAAGAATCTTCCATTTTTATAACAATAGATCAAATTACTTCTTCAAAGAAACATAACCAATAAAACTTCACTTTGAACAACTTATTTCTATTTGTAGCAAATTGGTTAGAATATAATTAGCATAAAAAGCCTTTATTTCTGGTCTGAAAACATCATTTTATTTGCATGTCAATTACTGAATTATTTATTTAGGAAAATATTACCGTTAAAAACCCTTTTTTGGCAAAAAAAAAAAAAAAAAAAAAAACCTATTTAGAAAAATATGTTGAATAAAGAGACACAAAAAATCATTTCTCTTTTTTACATTGTGACTCTAAAAATACCTTTTGTTTTTATGTCAAAAAGTATGTATACTTTATCATAGAATACCTTCAATACATCTTGCTCATACATGACAGAATTATATTTTTTCCTTAAAAAAAAATTCCCTAAAATTACTAAGACCATCTTAGAACAAAAAGTTAAATAAACTTCTACCTTGAACTGAGGCATCCTGTACATTCGGGTAACATTAATTACAGCTGGACAATTAACTTTTTTAGTTGTCTGGTTCTTGGAATATGCTTTACCAAAAGCATGATCAGTTTGACACTAAAAGGAAAAAAAAAAAAACACACACATATATATATATATAATCCAAGAGGTGATATTTTTGTATAAATTTTTAAATATAACAATGTTATTTTACCTTTTCATTTTTTTCTTTAGCATAATTTTCCTTTTGACGTTTATTCAGATCTTTTCCTTGATGGCAAACATAGGTTTTTCGCCCAAAGTGGAAATAGGGAATATCATCTAACCAGTTTAATCGTAAATCTGGAGTTAGTTCAACTGGAAAGAAAATTTTGATTTAGATCACAATCTGCTAAGCTTTGATTTTTAAAAGAAAGAAATTACAGATCTCTATAAACATATTATACATTTAACTGTCTCTATATATACTACATACTGTAGACACTGCTTAATGTATTGCAGCTGATGTCGTGTATATTGCTATTGAATTTCTAAGTTCTGCTCTTTCATATATGGAAACATAAAAAATGCATCATTTGCTGTAGTTTTATTTGCTCAATTTGGTTAATATAATCAAAATATTATACAATAAATTTCTTAAACTGAAGAACGAAAATGATTTTAATCAAGCATTTAGAAAAAAGCGCAAAACAATAAAATTAAAAAAAAAAAAAAAAAAAAAAAAAAATTTCATACGAATTTTCAATAGCTATTGATTTGGAAGGGCTTCAGCACAGTTCCCTCTTCTTCAAAAGGGAGGTAAAAATTCCTGAAAACATCTTTGCCAAAATATACTTGCATTTTTGCCCAATTTCAGATTTTACATTGGCAAAATCTCTTTAAACAAGGATGCCCTCCAAGTATTAAGATTATAGGTATAGAATTGGTCCAATAAATTTCAGAAACATTATGGACTACTCAAATGAACTTTTGCAATGAAGACTGTAAACAATTGATAAACAAACTTATTTTTCCTAATTAAAATGTTAAGAAAGTGGCTAGTTATATTTATAGTTAATTCAATTCCTATTTTAAAAGATACTTTTCTCATCATCTTATATTATCAAAAATGGGCAAATGTAATCACATTAAGCAGCACCTACTGCAAACATAGAGATATTAAAAGCATTAAACTATTATGTAAAAAATTATGTCATTTTGTCTCATATTAAAATTATATATGCTAGGTAAAGTATAGAATGAGCTAGCTGCCTTACGCAAAAGGGATGCCTTTGAGAAGGTCTAATGGGAAACTGTCTTGTATTCACTTATATATAAGGAGAACAGGAAAATTCCCATGCAGCTAATCCATTCAACAGTATTTGTACCTTGATCAAACATCCAGTATTCAGCTATCTCATCTGCTAGTCCATTGGTGCTAAGAGTCAAAATAGACAGTAATGTGATTTTACACACAAGATAAGTAGCATTCATTGACTAAAGAAATATATATATCACATCACTAAAGAAATATATATACATTTCAGAAAACTTTCCTGTTTTCTAAAATTCAATATCTTTATTATTATAACTTCCTGATATTTCAATGCATTATAATTTTATGGTGAACTATTACCTGAAAATAAAACAGAATATTTTTTGAATTGGTAGTGTTTATTATAAGGTTATTTTGAAACATGTTGTTAATGATAAAACTAAAGAATGGATTTTCTTTATAGACTATTAAATGATTATATTTCAAATCAACAGACTGCATTCATACACTAAAATAGGATGAAAAATATAGTAGTCATGGAGACAATTGTCGAGTTTCTCAAGAAACAACAATAAAAATTTTCAAATCTAACACGGTATATCTTGTTTAATGTTTAATATAGTACGGAATGTTTCGTGAAGCATCAGCTATTTAAAAAAAAAAAAAAAAAAAAAAAAAAAACATGCAATACCTGACAATGAAACCAAATAAAAATCAAACATAACGCTATTACACGTTATGCAACAAAATTAATGAATATGAACGTCTATAAACCCTTTTTTCAACTTGGACCGAATCTCGCAACATCAACTAGATCTTACGCAATAAAATTAATACAAATTAGTGCTGATAAGTTCTTTGGAACAAAATGGCCAAATATCAACTAAACAATCAAAGAAAGCATTTACATTCTAGAGGATTTTTATTTACTCATTACATCTTCAAAAATTACTTACTCTCTTTATCTAATGACTTTCCATAGTAATACACATATTTTGTTACAGTTTCTACTTCGTGTCTGCGAAGTATTTCTTTAAATTCGCTCCAAGATTTCGCAAAATTCATTTTGCCTCTAAACACAAAGGTTCATACACGAGACGGACTTTGAAACTCGTAATCGATAAACCTGCCATTCCCCTATCGTTGACACAAGTCTTTCTATCGATGGGAAAAGGAGACTCTAGGCCATCCGAAAAAGCGGCGACCAATTTCAGCAGAAACCAATAAGCTGAAAGACGTAAAGAATGGCGCAGAATCATGATCTCTTAGATATTTTAGTGTCGAGTGTGTTTATATTTTTGTTAAGTGTGTCGAGACCGGCAAAATTATAATTTTTAGATATATATATTAATTATGGCAGGCTTAGAACTTTTATCTGATCAAGGTATCAGAATGGATGGAAGACGTCCAGGTGAATTAAGGAAAATCGAATGTAAACTCGGTGTTTCCGCTTCAGCAGATGGCTCAGCTTATTTAGAACAAGGAAACACTAAAGTTTTAGCATCAGTCTACGGACCTCATGACGTTAGTTTTTAAAAAAAGTTTTCACATTTACTTGTTTTCTGTATTTTACTTTTATTTTATATATTCTAACTGATCACGGTATATCTGAAGTTTCATTCTAAATAGCGATGTAACATATAAAATCGCCGGAAACGTGGTACTGTTTTCAATTGAAGTTCTGATCCCAGCGAATGGGCATTTTCATAATTTTTCCTTTGCGTAATGTGCATATGAGCCAGTTTCTTATAGAAAGCTCTCCAGAAATGCACCCCTCTGTTTATGCAGATTATTCTGAAGCGCTTTCTCATCCAAATATCTGGTATAGTCGTTATTAAGCATATCATTGCTCAGTCTCATGCTTTTGTATACTTATATGAACTTTTAAATTGGATCTTCTCGAATACTCGTGATTTTTGCTTCTTTAGAAATTGCTTTCCATGTGTTTTAATCTGAACTTACTCTAAAATTCCTTTAACTTTCTAAACATTTTAATTTTAAAATGTAAGTCTTAAAAATACTGAATTGTCGTTACATGAAAGCCAAAATAACAAGTCAAAGAATTTCACAAACTTGGTATCCATGTACACACTGACCTATTTTCACTTAAAAAAAATTACAGAATTGCACAAGCTAGGCATTGCACTATCCCTTCACTTTATCCACTGCACGTGTAACCTATTTTCATTTAAAAAATATCGGAGAATTACACAAACCTGGCATTGCACACTCCCTTGACTTTGTCCATGTACACATTGAACTGTATTCATTTAAAAAGTCAAAGGAACAACCAAAAAATAATAATAATAATCTCAATAAACTAAATTTTAAACCATACAATGAAATTACATAAAAAATAAAATTCATCTTTGCACTACACAAAGGATATATCCACTCACCGTATTTACGAATTAACACGTCTTCAGTCAAACAAAATTCCTTAACAGAATCCAAAAACTTCCTAAAATTATCTGAACTAGAATCCGTATACTGGTGTTGCCACATAAATTCACAAAATAAGACCATAGCAAAAATATCCTCCATAGCGCCGTATCCATCCGACCATACACATTCCATTCCTATAAACAGTAATAATGGCTACTAAGCAAACCATTTACACACCAGTCAAGTAATGCTCTTCTTTCCAAATTGTACAGAAACTTCAAATTAATCTTACCACATTCAGACATTTTACCGTCTAAACCATAAAACAAGCCGTGTACTTCCTAACCCTTACAAATTCACCGCAGTCATGCAACTGAGTGATGTCATAATAGAGTTTCCATAACATTCAACTGCTGAGGCTTGGCAATAAATGAAACAAAAACTTCACTATAATAATACAAGGTATACCCTTCTCTCTACTCTAACTGCAATAATTTTTTGTGAAATTTTTATTGTGCAGAATATTTTACTTTCATGCTCAATTTAGACTATGTAATATCATGCTTTCTGTGATTATTTCCGTGCAGAATTTTGCATACTGAGCAAAGGTGTAAAAATGCTTACTGAAGAAATTTTTTTTAGAGGGCAAAGCGTTTGGAGATGCAATGTGAACAGCTGCTGGGTAAAAAATAGACCCTTACAATAATTGATTTCAGAGTTCCAAGATTCCTATTCTTGCTGCTTTGCACTTCATATACTAACTTTTATCAGATGATGCAATCAATAGTTAAATATGAGAGGAAACTCAGTTCTTTGAATTAACTATATAAGAAATGTTTGTTGCCTACTTTTGTCCAAACACTTTTAGGATAAACTAAACCAGACAGAGGCACTAAAACTGTAACAGAGGTAGTAAAAGAAGGTGTATGTGAAGTACAACATATTTTGGTGAATCTTTACATTATGGTAACTTGACGATTTTTTGGTGGCAAACCCTGCTACAACAAACTGCCAAACTGCTAGTTTTGTTTTCACGAAATAAAGGCTTTTTTTTTTTTTTTTTTTTTTTTTTGCTGAACATTTTTTCCAACAATCTGCTAGCCGAATTACGCTTATACTAGAACTTTTATGGAACAAAAATGCTTAATCATGACGAAGATTAGGTGCGAAATTGGGAGAAAGTGCAGAATCGCAAACTGCTTACCGCGTTTTTAAGAATTGCACATACACGGTATCATCCATGTACACGTCGACCTATTTTCACTTAAAAAAACATCCCAGAATTGCACAAAAATGGCATTGCGTGCACTCTTGACTTTATCTATGTAAACATCGACCTATTTTCACTTAAAAAGTGAAAGGAAATTGACAAAAATCCAATTCCTCTTACTCTTGTAAAAAGAGCCAAACAAATAAGTGGGCGATTCTGCACTTTAGCAGCGAAATTGTTTCTAAGTGCTTATTAGCTAAAATCCCGATCGGAATTTTCCGGAAAATGTCACATTACATGTCTCATACTCTCATTTCTCCGAGACAAAATAATCTGTGATTCGAACTGTGTACTTCTCAGATTATTGCTAAAGTCCTAACTAGTAACCTTTATCGCCTTACCAAACTGTCGCCAAACTACCTGTTACCGTATTCTAAAGATTAGCCCATATTTTGATTGCTGGTATGCTTAGCAGAACAAAGAGAAAGCAGGTTTTCAACACTTTGTAGTAAATCATAAATACAGCTTTGTAGATGCAACAACTTGCACAAATATACAAAAATTCAAATGATTCTGACATGTGGCCAAATGTTAATGCTTGGATTCATATTTAGAAGAAATTATATGATGGCAGTATGTAGGATCAAAGAAAATATTTAATTCTACAATTGCAACATTTTGCAAATTAAGGCCTCCACAAAGATAAATAGTATTATTTTCCCCCTTAATATATTGTAGTTTATTTATTTATTTATTTGATAGTTTGAATAATATTTTCTAATTTTCATTAATAAATTTATGTGGTGGGTGCTTTAACAGGGAAGTACCTTTATTACTTTTTTTTAATTTTAAACTGTATTTTTAGGTATGTATTTTAGTATTTGTATGTACTGTATTTTAGAGGCAGGTTAAGCTAGTTGGGGGCTCCTAGGAATGCAATTAGTGATTTGCAATAAATAATTACATATAATTAACTAAAATTATAAATATTTTAATAAAAATCATGACTTGGTATTTTTGTTAATAACTAGTCTCATGTTTTTTCTCTGCATATAGAGACTGCAATACATTAAAATTATATTAAAGAAATAAAATATTTTATGAAAAGAAAAATAAAGCATCAAACTGCTAAAATGTTTCATGGAATATTTTAAAATTAAAATATTTAATTATAAAATTAGATTAATGTAAAGTAGAAGATTTAAAAACATCGTTTTTTCTTTTTTCCCGGCAAGTTCGTCAATTATTTTTGAAATATCAATGTTATTTAATGCTTCTTATTCTATATAATAGAAGCATAGAGTTTAATCTTCTAATTTCTAATACTATCATACTAAAATATCTTTTATCCTTTTTTTAAAACAGCAAAATTTTTTTCTGGAGGCAAGGAAAACTGGTATAGTCATTAAATTCTATTAAATAATTTTTACATTAGGAAAAACTGATGACATTTCTCTCACAACATGACATACTTATGCAGCAGAAATAAATTTGTCTCCATCATCTAATAAGAATATTCCTATGCATCCTTAGAATGCAGTTATCTGTACATTTTTTATTAATCTCTTTTAACTTTTCTATGCAGACAGTGCAACAAATTTAAATTGAGCAACTCTTTAATTTTTGTGTTATTTTTATATACTTTACATCTGCAAGCAGGATCTGCTATTATATTGTCCTAAATAATATTAAAAGAATTTTCAAATAATTTTTATGCAATGAAAGTGATTTAGATCCTTTATTACTTTCATCAAATATTTTTCTTTTGGTTGCCTATAATTCTGTTTCTCAAATGCACCAAAAACTGCTTTTTCTACTTTAATAAAATTCTTGACAGAACTGTGCAATAAAATTTAAACAAAACCAGCTAATTTAAGTGCACACATTTAGTTAAATGTAAAGATTTGCTGATGTCATTCATTCTATATAAACTGGTATTCCAAACTATTGTTTTGAGTATTGTTTCATATCTACACAGTTTTATATGGCTTCCACTACAGTTACTTTCTTTTGGAACTTGAACTGCAGATGCCAGATAAGGCTTGTTTTACATAGTTGCAATCATATTTTAATGCCAATATGCCATCTTTGTTTATCAACTATTTAATATCAGATAATTATTTTTACTGTTGAATTATTTTATCATTTTTGAGCTTTCAATTCAAAATTTGCCAGCAGGGAGAAAAAATGTTTGCAGAAACTGAAATTATTGAACAACAGCTCTACAACTTTCTACTACAGAATTACCCACTAAAGTTAACAAACCTATTTACCGTCATATAACATTAATTTATATTTCTAATTTGTAGGTAACAGGAAGAAAGTCAAAAGCTCTGACTAATAGAGCCTACATCAACTGTCAATACAAAACAGCTCCTTTTAGCAGCAGTTCAAGAATTAGAGTTAGTCATAGTGATCGAAGGTCTCAAGAGATGACAATAGTTTTGCGCCAAGCCTTTGAAGCTACAATACTTGCTAACCTGTATCCAGGTTCTCAAATCGACATTTTTTTCCTGGTAAGATAATATTTTTACTTAAGCAATTTAATAAAAAATACACAAAATTAAATGTTCATATGTATTGTTTTTGTAGAGATTGTTTCCTTAAAACTGTATCTGAAAAAATATTTGAGAATTAAATGGCATATGAAAATAAATTAATGTTATATACATTTTTAAGTTCTGAATGTTCTAATAAGTTTACCTTCCTTTGTTTTATTTCCAAATTTCCTTAGTGATAAATTTATCGGAACTTGTCTTCAGTCCCTGTATCATTTCAGTATTAAAATACAGGGTGACCCAAAAGTCCATTAACGTTTGAAAGTTGAGTAATTCAGTGAATAATGTAGGTATAGAGGTAAAAACTGATGCACATGCTTGAAATATCAAGGGGTTTTATTGTTAGCAAAAAAAAAATTGAACAGCCAAAAGATGTTGCTTCATATGATAACAAAAGCAATAATTAGCATAACAATTGATTTTTAGTAAAGAATTTGTTCTTTATAACAAATGTTCAACATGTCAGCCATCATTCATCAACAACACCTGTAGTCAAGGGACAATGTTATGAACAACAATACATTTGTGGAAAATAAAAGAATTTATTGAAAAAGAACTCGCCTTAATTTTAGCCTAACGTTTACCATACATTATTGGCTGTGTATTATGAGATTAGAGATAAAAGGCAAGTTCTTCTGCTAAATTTGGTCTTGCTTCTTTCACACACTGAAGCAGTGAAGCCTGAATTGTTTGTGATATCTGGCGACTGTTTGGCGATCAACAGAGCATGCTTGGCGCAGGTAGCTCTTCTTCGAGAAGGGTTAATGTATTTATTAGGAGTTGCATGTTAGCCTCGGAAGAGGAAGGTAGTAGATTGTACTATGCGGTAGGAGCGACGTACTGCTCTGAGTAACTATTATATTATGCTTTGAATTATATATTTAATAAATGTTTGTTTCGTCTTGCTAAATGGTGCCTTATTAAACCATGAAGTCATCACAACACGCTCTCTTTCGAGAGAAAACCAGAGAGGTTAGAAGCTTAGAGCGTTGAAAACGGAAGAGGCGTAAAGTTAAGCCTAACTAACGAAAGAAGTGTTCATTTGCAAAAGAGAGTAAAAAACGTGAGAGAATTATTTAATCGAGAGTTTGAAAGGCTTGATTCTAAAGGAAAATAGAAGAAAATGTTCAAAAACGCAAAGAAAGAGGATTTAGTAACAGTTCTATTGGAAATTGGCGAAGAAGCATCCCCAGATTTGAAGCTGGTAGAACTGAAACACAAACTCCAGAATAGCAAGGAATACATCGAAGATGCTGATTTCGTGAAAGAAATTCTGATTACTACAGTGGAGAATAGAAAAAGAAAAGAAGAAATGGAAAGAATGCAAATGGAAGAAGAAAGAAAAGAATAAGAACAGAAAGAGAACACGAAATAGAATAGAACTAGCGAAGATTCGAGCAACTCAAAATGAAGGAAGTAGAAGTCCAACACCTTTAATCCAAAACACAGAACGAGAAACCGAAATTTCCCTGGACAAGCTGATCAAAGGAGTAGAAAACACTGACTATACCAGTACCGAAGAGAGCAGAAGAAGAATGGAATATATTTTTCGATTCTATCGAAAGAGCATTTAAGCACAAGAAGGTTCCTGAAGAATACAAATCAGAAATATTATTGAAATTAATTGGAGGAGAAAAAGCTTCAAATGTTCTTGTTTATATAAAGGAGGAAGATCTGCAAAATTACGAAAAAGTGAAAACTCTTGTTCTGAAGGAATATCAACCTACTCCTCAAACCTGTTTAGAAAACTTCAGAAAAACTAAACGTTATTCCGGCGAAACGCATATCCAGTTCGCTTCAAGACTAACAGCTACATGGGACTATTACTGCAAGTCAAGAGAAGTAAAGGATTTCGAAACACTCAAGGAGTTAATTATTTCCGATAAATTATTCCAAGCATTAGATGAAGAAGAAACAGCTGCACACGTCGCAATACGCCAAGGAAATAAATGGCTGAAGCCTCAAGAATTAGCTACAGAATGTGATATTTATTTCACGGCCAAAGGAAAATCTTTCGACGAAGTTCGAAATGGAATTAAGCGATCACCGAGATTCCTGGATACAACATGTGCACACGACAAATATATTCCACCACCCATGAGAAAAGAATATCCAAAACACGAAAGATTTCACGCGAGAAGAAAAGAATGTTATATTTGTGGAAATTATCAACACATCGCGAGAGATTGCCCAGACAAAAGAAGAAAGAACGAAAACTGCAGTAAATAAGAAGGGAAAGGATGATTCCAAAACTCAAAAAAATTCAAACAGAACATCAAAAGAAGAGAAGCCATCGTAGCTAAAGTAGACTCATCCCATCTACGATCCTGAATTCGCAGAACGCATCGTTCAACCACTGCAAAAAGTAGATATTTTTATTAACTCTGAGAAAATCGAAGCTATCGTAGACTCTGGAACGCAGATAACGATCGTACATTCATCGCTCATTCCAAATTTAGAGGAGAGAGAAGGAGGTAAAATATTGCTAACACCTGCTTTCGGACAACCAATTGAAGCAAAAGTTTGCCGTGTACCTATTTACCATAAAGATCATGGAAGCAATATATTTAATTTTGTGGATACATTAATTGCAGTGACTGATAAGCTAAATGTGCCTTGCCTAATAACTCCAGAAATATACGAACTGTTGATTAATCCTGCGGCAGAAGAACCAAACGCAAAAGAAAGAAAGAAATAATTACGGAAGCGAAAAAAACTTACAAAACTTTATTCGCCAATGCACAGTCAAACGACAGCGTCGATTCCCCCCCCCCGCTAATGCTTATGGAGGAGAAAAACGAAGAGGAGGAAGGGGAGAAGGCGAGTGTTTATGTAAACACAGACTTATCGTCTGCTGAATGCCTACGCCTACGCGAAGAGCAAGTTAACTGTCCCTCGCTGAGAGAAGCATGGAAGCTAGCAATAGAAAAAAAAAAGGAAATTATTTATTTATTGATCATCTTTTACATCACCAAGAAAAAATATTAGGACAGACTGTTTTTCAGTTAGTGCTTCCGCTTAGTAGAAGAGCACAAGTGTTGGAATTAGCACATAGTTCCATTTTCGGTGCACATCTTGGAATAAGAAAAACAAAGGAGCGAATACGATATTCATTTTATTGGCCTGGATTAGCACAAGATGTTGAAACCTTTTGTAAAACGTGCAAAGATTGTCAGTTGAAAAGTCCAGAAAAGCGATCTGACAAGATTCCCATCACACCGGTCAGAAGGCCAGGATTACCTTTCGAAACAGTTAACATCGACGTTATTGGACCTATTGAACCTCCCTCTGCTAGGAAACATAAATATGTGTTATGTCTGGTAGATCAACATTCCCGATGGCCAGAAGCCATTCCACTGAGAAGCTTGACAGCAAAAGCCACTTGCGACGCGCTTTTGGAGATTTTCATGAGAACAGGAATCCCTAATACAATAGCTAGTGACAACGGAAGTAACTTCGTTTCAAAATTAACTAAAGAATTCCAGAAAAGACTAGGTTCTCACCCTAGGTTCTCTACACCTGCTTACAGTGCTTCAAATGGATTAGTAGAAAGATGGAACAAGTCCTTCAAGCAAATGTTACATCATGTCATCAGGACTGATCCTTCGAATTGGGATAAGCACATCCCATACCTGCTCTTTGCATACAGAGAAGTACCAAACTGCACCACGGGTGTCTCACCATTTCAGCTGATGTATGGAAGACAACCAAGAGGTCCTTTAGCAGTACTGAAGTCTTCATGGTCAGGAGAAATACCTATACCACCTAATCTAAGTGAATCGGCAGTGGATTACTTACAAACTTTTAAAAATAAGGTTAGAACAAGCAGCCGAACAAGCCAATTTAATTGCAAGTGATAAACAACAAAAATATGCTGAGTACTTTAATCGGAGATCAATACCAAAAAATTTCAAAATCGGAGAACAAGTTTATTTACTCATACCAGATTCAAATAACAAACTCTATGCACGATGGACTGGTCCAGGAGAAATCGTGAATCATTGCCCACCTCATTCCTATAAAGTAAAACTACCTGATGGAAAGATCAAACATGTTCATGCAAATAAAATTAGAAAATTCCAAGCTAGTGTCAATGCAGTTGGAGTGATATTTGAAAATGAAGAAGAAGAATTTGGAGAAATTATAACTTTACCAGGAAGGAAAAGATCTCTCGACCCCCCTGGAAGATTTTAAAATAGATGCAAATCTGAATTTAGAAAATTTGAATCCGCAGCAGAGAAGAAAATTGATAGCTCTTATCAACAAACACCGAGCACTATTCACCGGAAAGCTGAAAATAGCTAAAGTTGAAGCTCATAAAATTAGATTAATACCCAATATGGAGAGGAAGAAACCTTACATTTATAGGATTCCTGAAGCATTGAAACCCAAGGTCGATGAAGAAGTAGAAGAATTATTGAAATCGGGACTAATAGAAGAAAGTAATGCAGAAATAGCTCATCCAGTAGTTTGTGTAAGCAAAAAAAATGGAGATATCAGATTGTGCTTAGATTATCGAGCTTTGAATGCAGTAGTGACGAAGCCAGATGACTTTCCTATGCAAAAATGCCATTGATTTAATGTACAGTATAGGAAGAGCCAACGTCATAACAACTTTAGATTTGCTGAAAGGATATTGGGCAATTCCCATGGAGGAACAAAGTAAAGAGTACACATCGTTCAAAACTCATCGAGGTCAATATCAGTTTAAAGTGCTACCCTTTGGATTAAGGAACGCAGCAGCAACTTTTCAGAGAGTAATGAATAACGCGCGCTGAAAGAATTTCAACAATTTTCAAGAGCCTATATTGATGACATAGCTATATTTTCCACGGATTTCGACACTCATCTCCGAACATCTGGATAAAGTTTTTACCAAACTAGAGTCACTTGGATTTACTATCAATTCGAAGAAGAAATGTTCGTTTGCAAAACCTCAAATTAAATATTTAGGACAC